TTCAAGCTCAGTTTAGTTTTCCAAATGCCAGATGAAAGCCATTAAAGCGTTGCCCAGGGAGAGCCGCCAGGCGGCATCCTTGTTGGCTTTTACCCTAACTAAAAGACGCAGTAGTTGTGAAGGCCTTGACCTGTGGAATTTGCCCATCGAAATGACAAGTGTAAACAATTTTTTATAAATACATTTTTTTGTTTGTAATTTGCTTCCCGAAAGTTCTGCGCAAAAGACCATCCTAATGGCCAGAAAAGCAGAAGAAAAAAAAATGTAACTATATGCGAAATATGCTAAGTAGCAGCCACCTCGTCATCGTGGTGCTCTTGAACTTGAAAAGCGACTCGAATTCCTGGTAAAGCACCAAAATCATAAACAACAAAGAATTAAACAGAGAAAAATACAAAATAAATACAAGAAATAAAAGGCGGGGAACAGAGCAGAGCACCTCAGCGTCGCAGCACCTTAGCACCTTAGCACCTCATGACAACGAAGATCTGGACATGAACGGGAATCGAGTGGAATATTATGAAATCGGCGACAATAACAAAAATAAATCAGTCCGATCGGTATCGGAAATCTACATATTATAAATGTTCACCACCCCTTACTCTCATAGCAACTCCCCTCCACCTACCCCTTTTCCCCCCCTTGAGCCAACCAGCTCATCCTTGTGGCCTTGAGCATTCATTAGTTCCCCCATTCACCACCATTCGCAAAAGTCTCTGGGCAAAAGCAGAATTCTAAAAAAAAAAAAAAAAAAAAAACGCCGACACTCGAGACGTCTTGAGAATTTCACGGCAATTCAGCGAGCGGACAAAAAAAATAAAAACAACAAACGAAAATGTGAAGAGCTTCGTGCTGGTATGTGGTGGTCAGGTGCGCTACACCAGCGATTATACAATCGCTGGAAATCACGTACTATATAATACCAATTATCAGCAGATAAGGTGTTATTATGCAGAGGTTATTACTCTATAGGTGTATCCTTGCATTTAAGGGGTTAATATGGGAAACAAGTATTAATTTAATTAATCCTATTTAAATATATATATTTTGTGTTAGGTCGTTCAAATACCTATAAGACCCACTATTCTCCATGTAGCGCAGGACGATGCCCAATGTAAAGCAAAAGAGAATAGAATAGCCCAAGCTAACTGTAAACTTTCTATTGTTATCCCTTTTTCTCATATGCATTAGCATTAGAGATCGAATGCATACACATATCTATCTCGCTGACGGATGAGCGAGGATAAGGGAAAAGAGGAATTCGTACAGTAGGAGTTTGTCGTTTCGCGAAAGCAGTCATATTTTACTAGTACGTACCATGACTAACTGTAAAACTGAAGTTAATAACCTCATAAAATATGATTCTATATCATATCCCTTGGTTTAGTGAAAAGTAAAGCCCATCTTGTATTACCACTTCCCAAGCTGTCACCCAAGACAAAAGTTAAGCGAAATCGGACACCCTTTCCACATTTGTTGGCCAAAACAAATCCGATGTCTGGATGGGACTGTAGTACACTCCAAACTTGTTGTTTTACGTAAGTCAAGTCATTCATGCCGGGCGTGAAAGAACCATTAAAAAATATATAAATGCAACATCATCAGAATCCTCTCCTGCTGCCTTGGCACTTTTCCATAGGTCTGGTTTTAAATTTGTTTCCTTTTTTTTTTTTTTTTTTTTTTGTTAATATTTTTTAAACAAGCTAGGAAGACGTGTGAAAATGCCAGCAATTCATTGAACCCGTCTGGGCCGGGTTTAAAAATACAATAAACTGTTTGCGCTGCATTATGCAACTAAAATTTCTGGTGGTGGGGGTGGGATCCACTGCGTCGTCTTTAATTCGCGGTCAGAAAATAAATAAAAAGAAATATAAATATATATATATATGAAAAACAACAAACAAAAATAGGGAACCAAACAGAGCTGTCCGCTCGTAAATATGCACAGAATATGAGGTTCATTAAACTGCTAGCTAGTTGTTGTTGATCGGCTTTAAGGGCCCGGCTAAAACCGTAAACAAAAACTGCGACATTACGATCGCTAGAAGGCGGTAGAAGGGCCAGTTTCTCAGTGGCTGTGGGAGATGGGGCGGGGGGGGTTAACTTGGTTATTTCGTATTTGACTGGGCTTTAGACGTCATCATCCAACCTGTTGTTATTCCCCGCCAGGCTGACTCATCACTCACGGGGCAGCCGTCCGTTCACAGCCCTCAGCACTACGGCCTTGGATCTTGAGGTATGTGGTAGATGGGGACCTTGTCTTCTCTAGAAATGTCAAGGGGGCCCTGTGAAGAAAGTGAAGGTGCTTATGGGAGAAAGTTCTAGCTGTCTTTATCTACTTTTAAGGGTTAAGAAGGCGTAGTTTTAGCCTCTTTTGGTAAATATTGACCCAGGGCTGAAATGCAAATGAAAATGTAGTTCTTCTGGGGGGAAGACAAGCAACCAAAGATATAGTGTTTGCAGATCTTTAAACTTTAAGATGGGAGATGATATAATTATTATGTTACGAAAAGGAAAGGGTTAAGTTATCCTCTGATGAAAGTCATGAAGAAAGTACTGACTGGAGTGTTCTGGGATAACTTTTATATATTAACTATTTGTTAAGAACATAAAGAATATAAACAAATTTGTAATGTAGTCATGGAAAATCTATAAATTCCTCTATGAAAGGATTATCATCCTATTTATGAGTCATATACTAATACAGGATCCCAAGAAATCTAAAAGAATCCTAAACAAACTGACAGTATTAATGAATCTATACACAGCCCCTATAGACAAACCTTCAGGTATATTTCCCTCTCAACTAAAGCCCCATTCAATCACAAACAATTTGAGATTCTAAGGGCGCGTGTCAATGGGTGGCAATGAACTTTTGTGGTTGGGGGTGGTGTTGGCCCTGCCGCCCAGCCTCGCGTAATTATCAAACGGGTTCGTCGCGCATTCCCGCGCTTTTCGACCCGAAAAGACTCAATATAATTACCAAATGAACTGCCGCCGATTATATAATGACAAGCGATGCGCCACTCCATGCCATAGACGCACGGCCTTGAGCGCGGACGCTGACACCTCCAAACGGAGCCGGACCAGGCATCATCGGTTCGGATTGCTATGGCTTGTGTTTTGAGCTATACCTCTATAGATCTACAAGCTAGTGCTACAGCTTGAGCTTAGAGCTTGAGCTTAAGCATGAGCATGAGGCGGTGACCAGAGTTGGCAACACGTCAATGCCCAATCTCAGTCTCAATCTCAAGCGGTTTGTTTAGCATTCTTGCCGTGGTTCTGGCTATTGCGCCATAACGGGCTGACTTTTGGGTGGAGTGGGGTTCTCGTGGTGGTGGTAGTTTGGTGGCTATATGTCGGCGGCGGCGGTGGTGGTGCCTGGAACTGTGAACCCTGGCTATGTGGGTTCAAGCACCTTTGGTCTGGCACCACCACCTCCTCCTGACAACACGCAGCAGCCTCCTCGCGCATAAATTTATATATTCCGCAGAATTTGTAAGCCAGGCCGGCAGATTCCTAACGATTTGCGTAAATGGAACCGAATAACACCCCGAAAGATCATCAAAGGCAGCGATCGGATAATGACGGGGTGTATCTGTATATATAGTCTAATCGAATCGAGAATATATAATGCGAATTCTTCATTTATTATCTTCTTTTTGTTCAATTTTAATTTTTTGCCAAAACAAATGACAATCCAATTTCAACGGCGGCAGCATTCCTGTTTCCCAACCGATCGTTATTAGTAAACAAGATTTGTATATATATTTTGATTATTTTTTTTTTTTTTTAATATTTTTAAAGCACCTGTGAATGAGAAAGCCCGTTCGTAGATTTCCGGATTACGAGCAGGCGGGCAGGTGGTGGTAGTTCTAGCCTGCCAGAATGACCATCTGCCGAGCCCGCCAAAATGGCAAGAAAGATGACTGAAATGCCCGTTGGGTTTTTTCGCCAGATTCTTTGAATGGATCTGCTTAGAACTAGATCTCCATTGAAACCTCTCGTATTGGGTTGTAAAAAAAAGAAGAGCTAGGAGACCAAAACAGAACAGAAACCGCGTGGTTCACAATGATGATGATGATGATGATGGTGGAGGAACGGGTTACCCATGTCTACATATATATATATACCATATCTCGTGTTTACGTTTTGGGTTCTGATAGTTTTGTAGTTTTGTGATATTCTGATTTTTCGGCATTCAAGGTTACTCTTGTTTTCATGTCCATTGACCTATTTGGTTTTACAGCCATGCAAATGAGCTTTTGGACCTGGCTTGTTGTTTGCTTTTTCGTGCCTTATTGGTTGCCGGTGTACTGGGAATTGGGGAATATTGGACACATCCCCAAGCTGTTCCTTGTCCCTCCCCCCTTCAAAAAGAGTAACCATCAGTTCTACGAATGAACTGAAATGAGTCATGAGTCATGTAGTGAAAAGCCCTAGGATGACGCAGTTGCAATCACTTTCTGGAAAATAGGCCCTTAGTCACTGACTAGCAAGCGGGAAGTAAAGGGAAAAACTGCTGAGTCCAGCACATACAAAGTGTCTGATTGCACTCGTCGTGGTCATGGGGCTCAGTCCAGTTGTATTTTTAGCTTTGAACTTGGAAACCTTTTGTTTTGGAGTCGGCAAGTAGCATGTAGCACATGGGTGTGCACTTTTGTCAGGTGCCTTCTTGGCCCCGGGTTAGAGTTACCCCACCTGCGATGATAGGGAACAGCCAGATGCAATCGTCAGTGCTCTCAATAGTCTATCAGGCGTCACCATCGCCATTATCTGGTCAGGGTTTTTGTGCTTTTTTTTTTAATGGGAATGTGCGTCATAGAAGATGGAAATACGCATTCCCTGCACTTGAAAAGAAAACGTGCAAGGAAATATCTTTAGTTTCCAGTTTTAGAGAATTTTTAAAGAGAAAACAAATACTTTTTAAGATTGTTAAAGGCAAAACTAAGAAACCTGCATATATGAAATTAATTTCCTTTTCTCTTGTCTTTTTGCAGACACAAAAATCTAAAATCCTTGGCTGCTTAACCTCTAATGAAGTGGCTAGCCAGTTGGCAGTCAAGATGGCTAAATAAGTAAGTAATCACCGGCTCAAATCGAAAGTTGCTCCTTTTGGCCAGGCTAAGCCAAGCAATTGAATCCACCCAGATTGTTGTGTTTGCTCCTTCTAATCGGATTAAATCGACATGTGCACTCGGTCCCTCGGTGCACACAACGGCTCTCACTGTCTCTATCTGTCTGTCTGTGGTCGGCAATTTAATTAAATTTCTATTGCAGACATTTTTACCCCAAGTGACCTGGCCAGGCCAGGACAGACCAAAGGAGGACCACCAAGTTGACACCTAAGGACCTGAGCCAGTGCTTGATTAATTTGTGATACTGATGTGGAAATGAAGTGTGGTTTTAATTGCTGGTCTGGCACTTTCTCAGAAAAGGGGTTTTCTTTTTGCGTAAGAAAGGAAACTGCAAGTTTAGGTAAGCAAAAGATTAGCCCTACATCAACATCACTCATACGCACTGTTGAACAAAAGCAAAGCTGAAAATGCGTAAAAATGATTTTGGTAAAATCTTAAACCAGACATTTATCAAATCCCTGCACTTGAAATCCTTTTGTTATCTTAAGGGGCTCTGCTTTGCAGGTGTAAATCGCTCTCTGGCCAAAAATTACTTTCATTTAATATTTATTTTGCATTTAAATTTCTTTTACCTTTTTGTGGGCCAACAAAATATTGTTACTTAAACAAACAATTTGAATTGAGATGAAAGAATAATGCCTATTCTATTATTGATTTGCAGGGCTTCTGGTTTCGGCTGAATGGAAATTTGTGGCTTTTATTCGTCGTAAATCTTGGAAGTGCTTTTGCCAGAGCAGAAATTGGGCTTTAAATGAGATGAGCGAGGGACTTAAAATCTAGAGATTTAAGGTATTTAAAGGAATTTATATATATATATATAGATAAACTATTGGTTTAGTCACTAAATTAATGGCCAATTAGTAAGTTATTCTAAAGATAAACTTAAGAAAATTTAATCTTTTGACTAATTTTGTTTTGTCTTTTTTAGAAGTTATCAACACACTGAATCTATGGGACATATATATTCTTGATCAGCATAATCGGGTAAGTTTGTATATACTTTTAGTTTTAAATATATAACTTTTTCCCAATGAAAGTGATCTCTAACTCCCTTGTATCATATTCAAATACTGACTGCGTTCTACTGGTTCTGATCTTGGCTGCATCTTCGTAGCTTCTCCTTCCTACCGCCAGGTGTCGTTATATTTGGGATTCTGGGCCTCAACACATTTTCCCCTACCATCTGAACATCTTTCTTTCTGACTTTTTTTTTTTTCTTCGAACCTTTATGCAATGAGCTGTGAGATTGCCACACCTTTCAGGTAGCTGAGCATCTGGCCGAATACTTGTAGGCCGATTTCATGTAGGCTTAAAAAACTTTCACCGAAATTTTTCAAGTGACAAGCGCACTCGGAATTCATGGGTTAAAGACGACGATCAAATAATGGGCAAGTGAAGTAAAGTAAAGTAAGTAAGTACATCATATAACAGAAATACTGTTGGGTTTGCCGACAATTTCGCTCGTTCGAAGGTCAGATGTACGCGCTGCTCGCGAAACTTCTCCCAAAAAAAAATCCAAAAAAATAAAACCAATACTCAACGCAGCGTTTCGAAATTTAGCCAGATAAACAGCATAATTAATATACAATTCGAAACCCGTTCCAGTTGGAATCCGTTAAGTAAACGGACGGTCTGTCCGCCCCCCACCGCCGACAATTGTATAATTTTGGGGCAAAAAGGGCGTGTGTGTGGTTTGTGTGTGCATTGCGCAAATCCGCCTTCATTTGCTGGCCACAGTTGCCTTCACCGTTAAAAAAGAAAATAAAATTAAATAAAATCCCCAAACACAATCGAAATCTGGTCAAGGTCGGTCTGGTCGACTGGTGGTGGTAGTTGAGGAGCAGACCAGCTCAGCCCTATGTGACCAGACACCTTTACTTCTCTAAGCCTTTAAGCTCTCTGTGGCGGCTCAATTAACTTCAATGCGATTGTGGTTTGTCGTCTTTGGAAGCACATTCAATGAAGGACGAGGCCAATATTGCCCTGTGACCCAAGTCCTGGACCCAATTAACACACGTATCGCATCATTGGCCAAATCAATAACCTCCCATTAAGCCAACTGGGCAAGGGTAATGGTTATAATCATCGCCTGCACTGAATGACCTGGCGTACATATGGCGTGGATGTGGATTTTCGTTCGAAAATTTCGAAATTGAATCTACTAGCCAACATCGTTGGACGCTTGTGATGTGGTTGCATAATCACATCCACGCCGAAGCTCTCTTTGCCCATGCTCTTGCTCGTGCTCGTGCTCGTAATTTCATTTGGGGTTTTGTATTTTCGGTCAGGCACGTGTGTGTGCCATGGTGTGTGGCATTACTTCGTCGCACTGCCACTGACGCTGAACCTGCACCTACCCCTACCTCTACCACTTTTTGAGTTGACTGACCAAATGTGGAATATGCAAAGTCAACGCAGTGACAGAACGAATATCATCAGGGCCAGGCATAGCGCCATAGCGGCATAGTTTGTCCAAAAAGAAAGGGTCTCTACGGTAATTAGTAGACAAGTGTGTTTTAATTTGGAGTTTCAAATGTTTTCTTTTGATGGAGTAATTTAAGTGTACTGTAAAGTGATAAGTTAATTAAAAACAATGTGTGCAGCTAGCAAGTTTAAATATGGAATGTCATACCACGTTGAAGTAGTAGCTTAATAGGTCTAGCTTCATCCAAATTTGCTTGAAATGGCAACATTTTTGCATTTTGAATTGTGAATGCAGTTTTCTCAAGTATTAGAAAACAAACTCAATGAGGTATGGCAATCTATATTTGGACCATTTTTGACTAAGTTATAGGCAGAAAACTTACTTCTGGAGGGGCAAGTAAGGAGAAACCAAATTTCGCATTTTCAATAGGGGATGCCATCATCAAAATCAA